TAAATATTGCTGACTTCCCTCAATAAAGATGTGTTCTGTATTTGCCTTCTGTATTTACCATAGGGTACACAATCCCATTTGAAAGTTTTTCTCTCTAACCAGGAGAACTATGAATATTTTTATTTGTCTTTTAATGAAGGCTCTGATTCTGTTGCACTTTCTAGTTATCAGTAAGTGGGGCGTGAAATTAAATCAAATATTTGGAAATTTACTGTAAATTAGGAGCTCACATCTGTGAATACCCAATGGATGGATTTTGAAAACATGATATCTTGCTTTTAGAAATAGTCTTTGATTCCTGTTTCTGGGAGATATGTATGAATCTTTAAAATACAGTTCTGGAATCATATACTTAATTTTCTTTCATTTAGAAAGGAATTTATAAGAAGTGGATAGAAGTGGTTACACAAGAATGCAAAGGCTGAAAGAAGAAAGAGGAAATGAAGTTGTTGAAGAAAAAGCCCAAGACAGAGTCTGGCTGATGTGCATCACCAGATGGCAAGTTAAGCTTAGATTATCCCTGAAGTTACATTAACCTGAGCTCAGACTCATTTTCCCTACTGCAAATGCTGGGGCAGAGCTCGCCCCCACAATGGCGTATCCCAGGACAGGGCTCTCTGCAGAGCTCTGCACACTAGTGCCTCTCCAAGTAGCTCACTTGCTCGACCACCGCAGGATCCACCACTTTCTCACAAATGTAAAATTTGTACTCGCCACACCGTGCAATGTCTATGTTTGCACCTTGAAGCCACACACAATCCAGCAAAGGACTTGAGCTGGCTTGTTGGATCTGAAACCTGTGAAAAAATAGCAGAGATATTCATCATCCCATGCAAAAGTTACAGGCAGATACAATAATTCCTGACTGCTGCTTCCCATTTGACCCACAATATCATACAAGCTCTCTGATGGGGGCTTGCCTAGGTTGATAAAGGAGTGAGTGATGGGTAGGTAACCTGTCAGCTGGCAAGCAGGTGGGGAGATGGGCAATTACTCAGTGGCAGTTAAAGGTTGCTGCTTCTGGCTCATGACAAACATGCCTGGACGTGGCCTGCTCCTATTTGTGCAGTGACTTACAGATCAGGGGAGAAAGCTGATCCATCCTCCCACAGCCAGGGCCCCTCAGCTCCATTGCGAGACAGCCCAATCCAGAAAGAATAAGAACTGTAAGACTGTGCTGATCGCATTGCAAAGTCCTGTACAGAAATAAATGCAAAGCCTGTGAATCACATCTCTGCTTCTGTCATAACAGCCTATGATTTGGAAAAGGAGAGAGGCAAATGAAAGCGAGCTGCTCACACCTGTGCTTAACAGACTTTGTTTCACAAGTAAATCTGGGCAGTGCCTCCTACTCCTGGCAGTCAGTGCTATCTTGGAGATAAGGAAAATTAACCTGCTGAGAGCTTTCAGTATCTCTCAGCTAAAAGGACAGTTGAGATAACCAAAGCCTGCACATTAGCTGGGTAATGGGTATAGGACAATGACTTCCTTCCAACACCCTGGTTGCATAAGTCAGGCAAGAAAAGGCATTTGCGTCGTTTGCTATCATTGCACACAGGAAATTCAAAATACAGACAATAAAACCACAGAGTTCAAGACATAATCCCATTGCCATTAAGGGTCTGCGTAAAAATTCCTTCACAGCAAAGAGCTCTTCTGGCTGTGCTTTATCTGCTGCTTCCTGTACAGCTCAGGAGTCAGAAAAAGATATGAATCCTCTTCTGCTCCTGCGGGAGAAGAGGCCAGGGAGCAGGCAAGGCCAGCAAGCTTTCTAGTTGTGGACAGCAAGAAACTGAAGGCCAGGCTTCTGATGTTTGCTAAATAGCTTGTTCCAGCAAGACAACAAAAGAGCTGCCAGCCAGTACTAGCTAAGTTGTGTTTGCCCTGAGGTGCGATGAGGATCTAGATGTAGACCCAAGCTGGTGTGTCTCAGCTAACTCCCTTGAAGTTAGTAGAGATGCACCAGGGAAGGTGCAGCCACAGTACAGGCAGAGGGGCTCCAAAGGGGCATGGAGAATTTTTGCCACTTGGTCCAGCACACACATGCACAGCATACTGCACCAGTGGAAGGATGGCATGGCTGTTCAGGGCACAGTAAATTGCAGAGTGTACAATTAGAGAGAGAAAAAAAATAATCTTTACCAGCTCTTCCTTACTCTCTATCTTAAGAAGTCTGGACTCCAAAACAGAGCACTGAGCTTTGCTTTCTTGCCAAGTTTTCCATTCCTTTGAAAAGTGGTAGCAGTTCTCCCCATACTGCAGCCAGTTCTCAGGACAAGGAATACATTTATGTCCTTGAAAACAAAAGACCACCTTATCAGGTTTGTCAGTGACAGCAGTCTCTAGTGGTCTAGTGGATCCCTGCAGGATCACTAGAGCAATTCACAGACTCTCTATCACAGAGGAGCAACAATTCCTCCTTCATCCTGCAGCTAAATTCATGTCTTCATTGGAGATTTAATAAACCCAGTTGCCAGAAGACCAGAAAAACATTTCAAAACGAAAATCAGAAAAACAAATAATAAAAACCTAGTACACCTAAGCAGTTGTACTCTTTGTTCGGTGAAAAACTGGCTGGATGGCTGAGCCCAGAGTTGCAGTGAATGAAGTTACATCCAGTTGGTGACCGGTCACAAGCAGTGTTCCCCAGGGTTCAGTTTTGGGGCCAGTCCTGTTTAATATCTTTATCAATGATCTGGATGAGGGGATTGAGTGCACCCTCAGTAAGTTTGCAGATGACACCAAACTGGGTGGTAGTGTCGATCTGCTTGAGGGTAGGATGGCCCTGCAGAGGGATCTGGACAGGATGGATCGATGGGCTGAGGCCAACTGATGGGCTGAAGCCAACTGTGTGAGGTTCAGCAAGGCCAAGTACCGGGTCCTGCACTTGGGTCACAACAACCCCATGCAACACTACAGGCTTGGGGAAGAGTGGCTGGAAAGTTGCCTGGTGGAAAAGGACCTGGAGGTGTTGGTTGACAGCTGGCTGAACATGAGCCAGCAGTGTGCCCAGGTGGCCAAGAAGGCCAACAGCATCCAGGCTTGGATCAGGAATAGCGTGGCCAGCAGGAGCAGGGAAGTGATCGTCCTCCTGTATTCGGCACTGGTGAGGCCACACCTCAAATACTGTGTCCAGTTTTGGGCCCCTCAGTACAAGAAAGACATTGAGGTGCTGGAGCATGTCCAGAGAAGGGCAACAAAGCTGGTGAAGGGTCTAGAGCACAGGTCTTATGAGAAGCAGCTGAGGGAACTGGGATTGTTTAGCCCAGAGAAGAGGAGTCTGAGGGGAGACCTTATCGCTCTCTACAAATTACCTGAAAGGAGGTTGTAGTGAGGTAGGTGTTGGTCTCTTCTCCCAAGTAGTTAGTGGTAGGACAAGTGGAAATGGGCTCAAGCTGTGTCACGGGTGGTTTAGATTAGATATTAGGAAAAATGTCTTCACGGGAAGAGTGGTCAAGCATTGGAAGAGGCTGCCCAGAGAGGTGGGGGAGGCACCATCCCTGGAAGTGTTCAAAAAACATGTAGACGTGGCACTTTGGGACATGGTTTAGTAAGCATGGTGGTGTTGGGTTGATGGTTGGACTGATGATCCAACCTTAATGATTCCTAGGTTTTACTTTCATTAAAAATAATCCAGCCACCAAGCCAGGAAACATGAAATTATTACTCTACCCTTAATTGGTTTAGTGGTGGACTTGGTAGTGTTAGGTTAACAGTTGGACTGGATGATGTTAAAGGTCTTTTCCAACCTAAATGATTCTATGATTCTAAGATTTTTTGAATCTGACCAGCAAACCTGGAAGGTGCTAGTAAAATGCAAATAGAAGAAATTTTGGAAGGTTGAGCCATGTTCACAGAGACATAGATCTGGGTGGACATAAAAGGAAACCTAGACTTTCAGTCATATGGGTACATCTCTATTCATGTGAATTTACTTTTAACTTTTTGTTAATAACATCAGGGCCAGCTCTTCCCTGCTATATGCTTTACAGTGCTATTTATACTTAAACTTTTCTGGTAGCATTTCATACTTGCTGTGGATTCAGTGCACAGGCATCAGATAGTGATAGCCAGCCAAAGTGAAAGATAAGGAGCCCACTGCTCTTAAAGAAATACCTTTAATACAGCTGCACTTTGACTCTTTCTGCCACATTATTCTGTTAGCTGCCTCTTGGGATCCTGAGCAATACTGAAGTGAGAAAGAACTCAAAATGTTGGATTTTTCTTCACTCTTGCACCATTTTGGAACTCAGTTTCTGGTTGGAAACTGCAATAAGCAGCAAAAGCAGCAAAAAGACCTGCCAGGCAAATATTTGTGAGATTTCTGGGAACTGCATCCCAACTATAGAGTGAATCATGTTTGTTGCTCTACAGTTCACAGGACCATTTTATGTTGTAACAAACCAGTGCCAGCTGGGAATGCCAGCACTTGATGCTGGATGACAAGTGATAACACAGCACGGTGCAGTTGACCCTTACAAGTAGCTTCTGGTTTGTGCTAAATTCAGATGCAGACATTTACATAGATAATAAATTGCCACTCCCTCACAAGGTTCTAATTTATTATGATTCTCTTCCTTCTGCTATATGATAATCCAGCATATTCAGCTCACCCATCATTGAAGTTTCACACCATTATTTTGCATTATATACCCTCACCATATAGTCTGTAAACTGTTAAAGCCAGTGATTACAATCCCATTTGGTACAGAGCAGCAGTATTTACACTTCTGCATCCACTACTGCATAACAGAATGAAGCTGTCTTGAGGAGTCAAAGCATTCCAGACAATCAAAGCCAGTAGGAATTTTCCATCAAAATTTTTTTACTATAATTCACTGAAACTGACTGTGAAAGAAAGAATGGTAGCATCAATGAATTTACCTATTAGAAACACCTTTTTTTTAAAAAAAAAAAAAAGTGTCATCATCATGGTATTTTCTGAATTAAAATATTTGTTTTAGGTTATAAACCAGGTCCATTACAAAAATTCAACAAAAGTACTTCAGAAAGACTGATACTTAAAAAATTGCCAAAATGAAAATGCAGCCTTTTGATTGACTTGGTTGAAATTTGTTTTTAAATGAAATAATTCAGGGCAATTTTAGAGATTTTGATTTTTTCCTTTCAATACAGTTGATAGAAAAAATAATTAATCTGTGGTTACCATAATGCGATGGAACCACAATCTTCCCACCACTACGTACCTCTGGAGGTGGCAAGTTGCTTTACAGTCTCTGTCAAGTTCAAATTCTGAGCCTGGAGGAGCTCAAGCTGTTGGTTGAGGCTTTCCATAATTGCCTTTTGCACGGTGAAGTTTTCATCCCTTTCATGCACAAGGTGGCAGACCAAGATGACTTGAATCACAATGAAACAAGAATGAAATTGTTCCATTAATACTGAAGCTAAACTCTGCAATGCAACCTGAATAAACTTACCAAAGACATGCATACCTCCCCATGACTGAATATACTTGACCTACATACAGTTTGTGCACACCTATGAGCAAGACATAATACATCCCAGTTTCAAGAATGGGAGATTTCTTGAGTGGGTGAACTCTTCCAGCAAGGGACACTTTTTTGCATCATCAATCCACTAGGCTAATCCTTTTCCTTAGCTAATTTCCTAGACTTTTAGTTGTTCATACGAAACTCTGAGCACCCCTTCTGTGACCATACTTACACCTGGCAGCCAAGACTCCTGCAGCTGCCACTGAACTTAGGCAGAAGACCCCAAGTGCCACTATAGCCAGTCGCCAACAGAAAGATGGACGAGGGGAATCTGGGATAGACAAAAAGAAGGAAAACAGCAAGAACAGAAACCTCTCATCTTTGTACCTACAGATCCTACATTGCACAAGACGACATGAGTGGTAGTATGCCCAGTGAATTGCTGAGTTTCAGACCAGTATGTGGTATTACATTATGAAAATTGTTCCATCGCTTGGCTGTGGCCAGTCCTCCTTAGGAGTTGGGAGCTGGGAAGTGAGCAAGCCATGGAGACTAACTTAGGCAGGAGCTTTTAAGAGAAAACAAACTGGACAAATAAAGCTGAACAGCACAGAATTTCACATGTGGGCAAAGAACATCAAGGAAGTATTTGTGCTTACAACATCGCTGAATTTTTCATATGCAGCCAGGTATTGGGGTATTTTTACTTTTGAGTGCCTAACCTGCCAAATCAGGAATGAATTCACCTTTTCAGAAAATAACATCAGAAACAGTCACCAATGAAAGACAGGCCCCTGCAAAATAATCTGAAATTAGGGCATACAGATGTGAATCCCTGCAGTTGCACAGAAACAGTCTCACACCTGGAAATGCACACACCCATTCTTGCAACATGGGCAAAGGCAAACACCTGTATGAATTTACACAGCCCCGAAACACAGAGGAAAGGATTGCTTCCAATTTATGACTTTTGTGTTGTTTTACTAGATTCCAGTATGAAATTTCAGTGGGGATACTAATATTATGTTGAAGTTACCAACAGAAATTACTGGCATACTAACCTGTGGTATTTCTGCCTTTTATTCCTTGTGTTCCCTAACCCTTTAAGCAAGCAGTTGAGAATAACCCTACTAGATTACTGGGAGTTCACCTTCAGCCTCCAAGTATAAAACTCAAGGACCCCTCTAAAAGTGAGAATCATTGGCTAGCCAACAGGGGGAAATTTCCTTCAGAAAGAGCTCTTTAATCTACTAGATTATTATCAAATTTATCAAATTCATCTCCAGATATTTAGTCAGGCTGGAACATAATATCTCTTTGCTTTGCTACTACCCTTCATACAGAGCGATTCTGAAGCACTAAAGCATAGCATAAAGAATATAGATTTGGGCTCAGTCACATTCCTCCCTTCCTCTGTGAAGCTATGTAGCATAAATTCTATGATTTTTAAGTACAAAAAGGTATTTGTTCATCTATTCCTTCCCTTGAGAGAAAACATATTTTTTCTCTAGCATTTACTTCATTCAGTTAGTCAGATTTAAGTGAGTAAAGCTGAAAGACTTTTGCAAGGTCCCTTAGGCGGATTACTTCACTAACTTCCAGGAGCTGACACTTAATGTCTAACTGGAACATGTTTATTTTTACTTAACTGCATCCCACAACCTTAATTCTATCTCTCCTCTCAAATCTAAACAGTTTTTCCACATTCTCCAATCTTCCATATTTTTTTTTTTTTAATCTCCTGCTCTTTTTCTGTCCCACCAATTTCTTAGGAGATTTGAGTCCAAAGGGTTCCCAGAAGCTGAGATGCAATATTCAGGTGGTATCCTCCTCTGAGTGTCACATAAAAAAAAGTTCTCCAAGGTGAGAGTTTGCCTTGGAGAGAACTGCCCCCCAACACTACCGCTACCTTTCGCTCTGGCAGTCTGGAGCTCCTGGTCCTGGGGTTTTTCCAGTGTCATGAACCTCAGGTCTGCGTATGTCACTTCTTCACTTGTCATTTCTGGCAAGGTTATAGAAGGATTCAAAAATTTGGTTGCTCCCACAGGAGAAACAGGGATAAGGTTCTGGCTGGGATCAAATGAACGGTCAGTGTCACTGGGAGCTAAGAGTGATTCATGCAAAAGTCAGAAGGGTATTTTTGGCTCATACCAAAGGATTTCATGACACAGTGATGGTGGGGGGTGTTTATGTGCAGCAGAGTCCCAGAACAGTATTTAATTCTCCTATGTGTGCAAAAATGCAATGGGGCAAGGAAATCTCACAGTTCTCAGTTCCTGGAACAGATGCATAGAGTTACCCGATTTGGGGGTACATCCTTTCTTTAGGAAGGAAAAGAAGGAAGGGGAGAAGTGAAGAGGAAATTACATTAATTTTGGATTAAATCTAAATCATTCCTTTAAATTTTTCAGCATCAGGGGGGTTCATTTCCTGGCTTTATTATACAGTGATTAATATTCAGTAAATTCAGCCAGAAGGGCTCGTTGATCTCTCAAGTGGCACAGGGGGACTGGAGGTAAAATGAAGTGAGAAACATACTGATCCCCTTTGCTTATTGCTTGTAAGCACACCGTGCTTGTCCTGTTGCAGTAGCACATAGACCTGTCATAGCCATTGCCCATTCCTAGGACACAAAGAAATGAATCCAGGTTTGCCAGCTGACATTCCAAGTATGTCTGCACTGCAAAAGGGAATGAGCTGGAGAAATCTGCTGAACTAATGGGGAGTCTGGGTAGAAAATTCATGTGCTCCTGGACTAGCTCTGGCCTGGAAGTAGTCCAGGCAAAGTCACATGTGATAATCCCAGCCCTTTAGCAAAAGTGATTAACAGAACACAGCAGCATGCCATTGCACTAGGGCTGCCGTTGCATCCAAGGAGGGGTCACCTGTCAGCTTGAGTGCCTGCACCATGCCCTCTTGAACTTTGAGCACCAGGATGAGATGGAGAAACTTAAGTGGTCCTAAGTTTCCTGGTATTTCTAGGTCTGCTGGTGAATTGACAGGAATGAGACCTGAACTTTCAGTTTTATTTCATATGGCTCTACTGCATGCAGCCCCAGAACTGCTGGTCTCACCAGCTGTTAACTCAGGAACAAGGATGAGCACCAGGTAGCACAGAATACTACCCCTCAGCACTGCATCTCACCCAGGGCTTTCCCAGCCCCTGCCAACCCAGGCTGCTGGAAATCAAATCTCCCTGGGTACAGGGCAAAAGTCCCAGACTTTTATCTTACAGTGGAAAAATTGAGTGCAGTGATTTAGACTCCAGCATCTGGGCAGACACATACAGACCAATACATGTTAATTCACAGGAAGGCCTTACCCTGTCTCCAATGAGCTGCTGCTTTTGAACCCTCTGTCACATTTTCTGTCAAAGGAAGGTAACAACCCTTATGTCCTCAGTGGAAAGAGCATGAAATGTGGGAGGGAAGTGTTCTGCTTCTTTATGCGCAGTTTGTTCAATAATGATCTGGTTTTGTTTTACAAGCAACAGAGCCCTGTTAGATTATCATCATCCAGTGTAAAAAACATGAAAGCCTTGATAATGTCTTAGTACACCTGCAAAAGTATCAGGGGTCCTTGTGAGCCCCAAATGTGTTCCCATATTTTACATTTCTAAATGCCCAGGGGGAAGTATTGGGTATGACTAATCAAGTTGGCTCTAGTGGAATACTCCCTTGAAGAGTAACAGCGATCAAGCAGCAATTTCTCAACAACTTCTAAGACCACTACAACAGCTATTTTTTCAGCTCTTTAAGAAGCTTTACTCCCAGTTAAGATCATGCTGTTTAGGAAATAAAAGTTAGAACAGGCTTGAGATGCATCCCTTGATACAACCAGAACAGAGAAGCAGAGAGGACAGAAGTTATTTTCTGTCCATACCACAATCTGCTTTCTCTGGCATCCAAGGAAGGATATGTTCAAACCACATAGCTTACTATGGAATGGACCCTTAGATTTTAAACAATGGCAAAGAACAGCAAAAAGTCAATGATGGGATATCTTTCTTTGTTTTAGCAGTTCTGTAACAGTCTGATCACATTTTTAAAACCTTTTGAAAGGTGGAAAGGGGGAGATATGAAAGAGAAAAGTTACTTCAACCAAACATAAAACAAAGAAAAAGAAAATATTGAGATAACTGAGGCAAAATACTACGGGAATGTGGAGAAATTTAAACCATTGTTGGATGATAGGCTAGCAGGGCCATAGGTGAATTACTAGAAGCACAGTATTTATGGCAATGCCATAGAAATAGAAAAAGAATGATCAATAAGTTTCAGCAAGAATGACTTATGATATGCTTTTGGAGGGGCTGTTGTTTCATGTCACACTGCTGCCTTTTCTTTAGAGAAATTTTTTATCACTTTATCTGATATTTCTCCAGTTTGATCCTTCTAGAACTTGCATTTCTCATGAGCCTGAATTTCAGTTAGAAATCAAGTGATAATCTATTGAAAAAAATGCTGAGAAACATTGGTAATTTGCACTTCTTTTCCACATTGAATCCCACCAGTTTTAAAAGCTGTACATACAAGAAAGGCCATTTTACAGTTCTGATGGGTCTTTTCTTCTAAAACTCCTATAATACACATAAGAACTTAAGAAGAAAGAGACAAAAAGAATATTGGGCAATTCCCATGTAATTACAAAGCCAATAGCTCATGTTTCTATGTTTCTTATTTGTCTACCAGGACTCAGAAACCTTCTTCCAGTAGTAGACTAGTTTAGATAGATACATACATACATAGATAGGCAGAGAAGTGCATGCTAAGGCATGTTTATACTGCACCGCTACTTTTATGATTACAGAATGGTAAATGGGTTTTAGCCTGCCTTGGGAGAACACATTATGTATATGAATCCATTGGTTCTGCTCTGCAAGTCTAATATGCATCACCAAGGCTAATGATTCACCAGTTTATGTGAATGCATTGTGACTGCAACATGGGGCAACAAGTTTCTCTAGCTGCTCTCCTGCCCTTAACATATATTTATGCAGCAGTTCCAGGTGGTTCCCAAACACAAATAGTAACACATTACTACAAAGCATTTTTTTCTTTCTCAGCTATTCAAAAGAGAAAGAGAAGGTGAACACAACTATATGCATGTAATAACACTCTGAATAGCCATGAGCAGTAACAGAAATCTAAAGCAGTTTTACAAGAGAGGGAAAATTAATGGGTCGTTGAATGGAACCTGCTAATTTAACCAGCTGCAGAACAAATAGTCTCCAGGATAGGAGAATCAACTTGTATTCCCTGTGGTGCAAAGTATCTGGGGGTACTTGGCTGGCCATGCAGGAAGTTCAGGAGTGGGACCTGCGAGTGAGCAGTGACTGAGTGAGCAGACTGTCAGTTGCGGGACTGACATAGCAGGAGACTACCAGGTAAGAGGGATGGCAGCAGTGCCTTAAAACAGGAGATACAAGAGGTGTTCCATGTGCATATGTATAGATACGCATACATATATGTGTGTATTCATGTATGTTGCATTCATATACATATACACATACACATATAACCATATATATATATAATGCTGTATATAATCATCATATTGAAAATGCTTTCACTTCAGCAGAAACATACACTCTGAATGTTGATCATATGGCTAAATTCAATAGATTGGATCCACAGAGGTAGGACAGTGTGAGTGCAGGGACAGAAAAGGTACTGGAGGAGGGAGAGGAATCTGAACTGCCTTTGAACAGGTCAGTAACATGACCTTCAACCCACTCCCCTCAGGGTAGGGGCGGGGAGAGGAGTAATTGGGAATGAACGAACTCAGAGACCCTTTCTGCTCACAGAAGGGAAGGGTCAGGTCTGCAGAGATCTCATGATGCCCTTCACTGAACTAGTTCAACATCTAAAGTAAGAACTTGTAGCCACCGCTTTTCTCCTGATCTGACTGGAAGGCTTTAGAGATCCCTTCAAAAGACAGAGAGAAGCAGGCCAAGAGAATAACAAAAGGAGACAGGGAGAAGCAAACAGGAATTGCCAGTGACAAAGAGGGAAAGCAAAAACCTGAAGGACAGAGAAGGATAGACCCAGAGGAGGACAGAAAGAGGTAGAGCAGGAAGAAGAGATTGGATTCAACACACAACAAGGAATCTGCTCCTTCTCCTGGTTAGTGGACTGGTGAGGATGAACTGAAACTTAGAAAGGACAAGAAGACATAAAGCTTGAGACAGCAAGAGGCCACAGAACCACCCCATGGGCATGCACAGCCCAGTCATGATCTGCTTTGTTTTAGGGTGTTTCTTATGGGTAAGTCACACCTCAGGTTCCTTTTTATGGGGTCTGTGCTCAGTTGTGGAGTTAGCTTGGAAAGATGGAGGGGCATTAGCACAGTCACAAGAAATTTCCCTGTTATTAGAAAGAACTGGCATATAAAAGGCAGATGCACAGAAGAGAAGAATATTTGCTGCTATTCCAGGGATGGTAACACAGAGGTCAGGGTACCCAAGGCAAAGGAATGAAATGACTAGGAGTGCTGGAGGGACAGAGCAGAATTTAAGTCAGTGTGGATATAATATGAAGCAGGACGTTTAAAGGCTGTTAATATTGGAGCATGGAGAAGGATCTACATCTGTAGCATGACAGATGTAGTGGTGGGGAAATGGGAAACTTGTGGTGAGGGTGAAGGTAAGTCAGGGTCTGTGCTGGGAACAGTGCTAAGTAGGATTTTAATGACTACGGAAAGTTAAGATATGAAACAATGCACTTGGTATCACAATAACTTCACATCTACAGTGGAATATATGATGGAAACAACGGAAGATAGGTAATAGTAAGTCCTTACCGTAGGAGATTCAGACTAGTAATGGTCCAGGTGACAGAGATAAAAGTTGCATATGGCAAAGACTTAATTCACTCTAGCTGTGTCTTGTTTGTTTTTCTCCTTCTAGTTCCCACAAGTGAGAGGTGAGGAAGGCTGTCTCAACACTGAACTGTGAGTATTTGTTGATCTTGCACTCTTTTAAGAAGACAGTGAAGGACAA